GAAAAAGGGGGTCTTTCTCAATGAATTGACAGTATTTCATAGATTCTCTATTTAACAATTGTTAAATTGTTACTTTCTGCCAGCCTTAACTATATTGTTAGCCTGTAAAGTGGTTATATCTTTCATTTCTTCATTTCATTTTTACGTTGTAATATCATAGGAACAGGAGTTTTATGGTTTTGAATATTAAATGTTTAAAAACTAATGATTAAATAACAATTAAAACACAGCTTACTTCCAAAAACATAAATGGCAAATCATTTTTGAAGGGCTGTTAAAAATGAAAACTAACTATTTTACATTACAAAATTCTTTGTATTAAAATCCTACGTATAAATAAAATCCTACGTATCATACATGAAATTAGGATATTGGTAAATAAAATGTAAGCCCAAAACTTATGATATAAGATCATATTACATTTGTTTTCATTTGCTTTAAACATATTTTTAGATTACAGCTTATTTTGTTGAGATACTAAACTTAAAAGCTTGCTATATGATGTAAAAATCTTTGAATCTTTGCGGAACTATTTTTTTTATAAAGGTTAAAACTAACAATTTATATATTTTAGGGAACTGTTTTCCATAGAGTCAGATTCAGTAATATTTCTCCAAGTGCATCTGATTCTAACTCAGGCGTAGGTCGTCGTCGTCCTCGTATCCACATCCTCGTGCTCGTCCTCTGTCTCGTTCTCATTCTCGGCCGGCTGTCTATCTGTTTGTGTCTGTGGCATGCACCCCTCTACCTGGTCCCCGACTGCTCAATCCTGGCCCGCAGCCCCACCCAGATGCCCCTTCCCCCGCCCCCCTCACGATTCGTTTCCCAATCAGACAGCCAGCGGCATCGTTAGCAACGCAACGCAACGAAACGCGACTCTCGGAGTTCGCCTGCATTTCCAAGTTTCGTTGCAACCCCGATGGTCAGCAGCTCGGACTTCCACGTCCACTCTTGCCACCAAACCACCGACTCCCTCCTAAACCACCACCCCAACCATCCACCACCCACCTCCCCCTCGGACTCCCCTTTTAAGCCCTTTTTCATTGCCCATACGCCCTCAAGGGGGTTTTATTGCGCTAGGCATTTTTGCATATTTGAGGCATCATCGCTCATCGCTTTTGTGTGTAAGCCAACTTTTAGACATGGTCGAAGGTAAAAACAACAGCAGCAGGAGCAGCAGGAGCAGGAAAAGCAAAAGCAGCAGCTGAGGACGAAGAATCAGCAAAGGGCTAACCCTTGTGCCACGCCCCCCGCGCTCCCGCCTCCCTTGACTCGCCCATTTTCTGCATTCTCTAAGCTGCAACGTCGCCGTTGTCGCTGTTGCACTCTTCTATTTGGCGTTTTAATATGCAACATTTTTTCCCGCTGATCTCCCCGCCGGCAATGCCCCATCCCCCGCCTATTTCTTTCCCCCTCATGTGTACGTTTGGTCACCTCCATGGTCGCAGTCACTGGCACTGAGAAATAAATTACATATTAGATATTTTATATAAAGTTAATCACTATATTATACTTATATTTTTAAAAATTATTTTATAAGAATTAAATCAGATTTTTTCTAAAAAACAGTTTTTTAAATTATCTAGTTCATTACTTTTATTCCAAAAATTTAATTGCGGACATGATACCAAGATGAGGTGGGTGTTTTGAATCTGGTCATAAATTTCGGTAGTCAATAATGCGAATTTCAGTTGTAATATATTCTATGATGAGTATGAGTTTATTTGCTTGTCAAAATAGAAACTTAATGTAAGAGAAATCTGTTTAGTCGCACATAAATTGCCTACTTAATATCGAACCTAAAATTCAAATCATTTTTAAACATTTAAATACAAATTCCGCTCAATAAAAATTATTTTTTAGCAACAAATAACTGTAAATTATTTATATTGAATTAAAAAGAAATAGGCATAGACATAATTGACTTTGGAGATTTCGTTTAAGCTTTGGCAATTGATTGGTATTAATAGTGATAATTTTTTAGCAGTGCATTCACACTCAGGGCAACCGTTTTATTTGTTTGTTTGCTTGTTCGTTCACTCATGTGTGTGGGTCAGACGGCGACCTCTCACCCCTTCCGCAACTTTGTCTGTTTGGCTCAAATGTTGTCATCTTTCCCCGCACACACACTCACACACACTCACACACACTCACACACACATACACACTACACCCCCCGCCACCCACTTTTGGCCTTTCGCAGAGGCTTTCGTCGCTTTTTGGACATCCACATCCACATCCACTGCCACATCCTCCGCCGGATTCTATCCCCTGATATCCTGCGTCCTGCGTCCACATCTCCAACGTCCTTTCACGTCCGCGTCATCGTTTTGCTCGTCAGCGTCGTCGTCACCAGTTAAATACATAAATTTTCGTATAAACGCGTTTTGCAGTCGCGAGCCTAGCAACCATTTCCCATTTTCCATTTCCCGTTGCCCCCTTTTTCCCCACATTCCCCGCTTTTCGCCCATCACACTCACTAGATAGCGACCAACAACAAACAACTTAGAGAATGCGTGATGCATTTTCATGTTGCTGCGTTTGATCCAAATTTTGTTTGCTGCAATTCATGTGTTGCTATAAGCCAAACACATTGGGCTCTAATTGAAGATAGTTGGCAGGGGAAAATCACCAGAAATATCAAAATATGTTGCGATGTTAAACGGAATCATACAATATAGACGATTAATGACAAAAACTCTGCATTTATATAAAAAACATTCAAATATTCTACATTGAAACAAAAGGTATTACATACACATTTAATTTAACATTTCTATAAAACATAAATTTAAATAGGTTTAGTCTTATGAAATATTGTTCATTTTGAAACCTGTTTTCTAGACCAAATTAAAATTGATGAACACAAGTACGATATATTTACAAAATCTTTTCTTGAGTAAGCACTTGCTAAATAAATAATATTCTTAAAACGCCAGCGCAAATTAGTTTGAGATGAATTCAATTGCAAAAGGTAATGACCTATTGAGGGAAAAACCTCAATTTTAAAAAAGGTTTTTAATACCTTTAAATCTATTTATATTTGTTATGGTATTTGTGTGACTTTTGATTCGTTGACTAAGATCGCTCAAATATGTGAGATATATAAACACAAAAATTAACGATGATATCATTGACCAACTAAAAAAATCAATATGCAGCAGTATTCAAGCAAATTTATTCAAACAAAATAAAAAGCACACCTAATTGTATCATTAAATTTATTAATGCCAGATATTCACACAGAAAACAGGCATGGGATCTTAATGATCGATAATAATAGAGATACAACAGTGCAAAGACAAAATCCCAATAAACTATTTCGAGGGTTGGCCATTAATAATAAAAAGTATCACTTAGCCGCATTAACACACCGGATATGAGTGAATAAAAGCATTAAAAAATCTCATTCACAGTCGCCAGGTGAATACTGAATACTGAATAACCCGATCGATTGAAAATACCTGCCGATCGCGTATTTTTTTCGCCGTTTTCTTTCGCCTCGATTCATGGCCGATGTTCATTATAATGTAACCAACTGAGGAGACCAGCCGCCATTTGCCAGTCACGAAAAAATTATGCATAATTTATGACTGGCTGTAGAGTTCCCCGCCACCCCGCGCCGACCCCTCTCGCTCACTCACCTTGGCGGGTAGCTAGCTTCGTCTCGCTCGCACTTGTGCAAATTTTATTTTCGCTAGATTTGTATTTCTTTATTTTATGCATATTATAAATGCGAAAGGCAAAAACAAATAATCAAAATGCCCACACACACGTACAGGGGAATTCGCACACAGAGGCGCAAAATCGAGGCTGACCAGTCTCAGGCGATAGTGCCCCGCCCCCGCTTCTTTGCCCACTTACCACCCCCCAAAAACCCCCTCCCCTCCACCGCCTTTTGAGAGAGCGAGAAAAATGAGGAAAAATAGTGGAAAAGTGCAGGTGCAGCTAAAAGAAAGAGAAACGTCTCTTAAGAGGAAAAGAGTCGGTTATTGCTATCCCTCTCGCGAGAGAGAGAGCACGACTCTCCAAATTCGCCGCACATCTTGTTTTTCGCCTAAGCATTTGTTTACAATGCACGAGTGGCAGCGACGTTGGCAGCGGCGTCGACTTCTCTGCCGCCGAGAGCGACGTGCGAAGAGAGTTTTTCGCGTGGTGAAGGTTCCTCGGCAGGAGGGGTGGGGTGTAGGCGTAGGGTGCACGTACCCCCAGCAAACGGAACTAATTAATGGAGCATCTTGCAGCCGAGTTTTATTTCTCAGTCGGGCGAGAAAATCGTGGGGAAGAAAGAGATAAGGAATTTTATGTTCGGAAGAGAACGATTTTTTGAAGTCTTCATGATCACTGCTCGGAAACTCTTAAAAATAACACTTTCGAAGATTTTGTTTGCAATATCTAACCATATCTGAAATTAAAAAAATACTATTTCCAAAGTATTTATATTTTCAATCGTCAAAAATTTTAAGCCATCAACAACTTGTTTTAATAAATAATATATACAATATTTTAATATTTTTTATAGTTGTTTGAAAAATGAACTATAGTTTATTGGTTTATTTTCAGTTAAAACAATGCTTCTTAGATTTTATTCTTAAAACACTATTAAATAATAATAATAATAATTCTTATTAATGTACTTTAATTTCATTTTTCAAAAATTCCTTTTAAATAAGTCCCCAAAAATACTTATAGCATCATAGCACCCTTCAACTTCTTGCCAATATCATTCATATTTTCGCCGCTTTCCCAATTCCTGATGCCCCCCGGATCCGTTTCCTTCAATTTTCAAACGGTGGTACTGGTCGGCGGGGCACGGCCCCACCCTCTCCTGCCCAGCGCCTCCGAAAAATATTAGGCCTAAGCTCGCTCTTCGCTGCATTTCGGGGCAACTTCCGTTTCCTCACGCACGCACACTTGCCACTTGCAGCGACGCATCCTTTTTCGCAGTGGTAGTGGTGCGGCGCCAAAGCGCCAAAATTTTTGGGGGTTGCAATGACGAGAGGCCGAGAACGAGGACGAGTGCGAGTGCGAGTGCGAGGACGATGGACGAAGGACGAAGGACGAGTCGAAAGCCGATTTCGGTTTTGAGTTCGAGGAGAGCCAAAACGCAGCGCAGGAGCAAAGGAATGTGGCCAACAAACGCTGTGCCGTTAGCCGGCGTTTTTTGGCGCCTACAGCTCGCCGATTTCATTTCAGCCGTTTTCTCTGCCGTCGGTTCTCCGTTCCATTCTCGGTGCTCGGTACTCGGTTCTCCATTCTCGGTGCTCGATTCTCAGCCGCGACGCGCTGCCACCGTCGCATTTTCCTTTGCAACGCAACGCCGGCAGAGCGGAGCGGAGAAACTGGCGAACTCGCCTCGCATTTCGCGAACTATTCGCAACTTCGTCGCGAACTCAGTCGCAGCCTGAGAGCAACAACTACAAAAAGCAGCAGAAGGCAGCAACAGCAACAGCAGCAGCAGCAGCAAATTGCTGCAACATCAACGTAGCCGTAGCGGTAGCCCCTCGGCGACCCTCAGTTTTCCACATCGTCTCGTGGCCATCGTCGTCGTCGTGTGTTAAGTTTGTTTTGAGTTTTTCCGTATCAAAATGTGCAAAACGATTTCAGTCTAATTCAGACGCTCGTGCTGAGAAGACTTTTGGCCCTGTTTGTTGGCCAATATATCCATAGAACACTGAACACTGAACACAGAACGGAACTGAACTAACTGAATACGATACACGAGGCAGACGAGTACCGAAACGAACTGAAAGAACGAGGCGGGCTAATTGCCAAATGGCCACGTAGTGCGCGTAACGTAACGAATACGTAAAACACACACATACCAACAAAACACACACACACACAGGGACAAACACACACCTACACACACACACAGATACTCACATGTACATGCCCACTCTCAGTTGAGCGTCGTAATTGTCGCGGTTTTTTCAATGTTTTTTAACGCCATGTGAAGAGCGAGTCGCGTAACGAAACGCGTTTCAACGTTTAACGATCGCCGATCAACGATCAACGATCTGCGATCAGCTGTAGACAAAATGGCGTCGGCGCAGGCGGAAGCGAAAGTTGGAGTGGCGCCCGAACAGGGACCAGTGGCCCAGAGGCAGCGCAAAGGTTCGGGATCGGGCACAGGTTCGCCGAAGAGCAATCGCAGTTCACCCACGCAGCAGGATGAGAAGCGCACGAAGAGCGAGGATCGCACTTCTCCCACTGGCGGAGGTGGCCCCTCGTCCAAGGAGGAGGATAAGGAAACGACAGGACACGCAGGAGGAGGAGGAGGATCTTCGCCGGTCAGTTCGCCGCAGGGCAGGAGCTCCTCGGTGGCCTCGCCCAGTTCGACCTCCCAGCAATTCTGCCTGCGCTGGAACAACTACCAGACCAACCTAACCACCATCTTCGATCAGCTGCTCCAGAACGAGTGCTTCGTGGACGTGACACTGGCCTGCGATGGTCGGTCCATGAAGGCCCACAAGATGGTCCTCTCCGCCTGCTCACCCTACTTTCAAACCCTACTGGCGGAGACGCCCTGCCAGCATCCCATTGTGATCATGCGGGATGTGAACTGGTCGGACCTCAAGGCCATCGTGGAGTTCATGTATCGCGGCGAGATCAACGTGAGTCAGGACCAGATCGGACCCCTGCTCCGGATAGCTGAGATGCTGAAGGTGCGCGGCTTGGCGGATGTGACCCACATGGAGGCGGCCACGGCTGCAGCGGCGGCGGCCTCCTCGGAACGGATGCCCTCGCCCAAGGAGGGCACCTCCGCCTCCAGAACTGAAAACGAACGGGAGGCGGAGGAGCTGCTGGCCTTCATGCAGCCGGAGAAGAAGCTGCGCACCGACTGGGATCCCGCCGAGCTGAGGCTCTCGCCGCTGGAGCGGCAGCAGGGCAGGAATGTGCGGAAGAGGCGGTGGCCCTCGGCGGACACGATCTTCAATCCCCCCGCACCGCCCAGTCCGCTGAGCAGTTTGATAGCCGCCGAACGGATGGAAATGGAGCAGAAGGAGCGGGAGCGGCAGAGGGACTGCTCGCTGATGACACCGCCACCGAAGCCACCACTGGGTGGTGGTGCCTCAGTGGCAGTTGCAAGTGCCGCACGTCGTCTGGAGACCGCCATCCACGCTTTGGACATGCCCTCGCCGGCTGCCACACCAGGACCCCTCTCCCGATCCTCGCGGCCCCACTCGCAGAGTCCCCAGCAGCAGCAGCAACAGCAGGGGCAGCATCCCTTGCCGATGCCCCTGCATCCCCACCACCATGCACCACCCGCCCCCCATCCCTCGCAGGCACCTGGAGCCGCCCACCATCCGCCATCGCCCGCTGGAGATTCCCGTTTTTCCTTGGGACCCGCTGCGGCCATGGCAGCGGCCATGGAACTGAGTGGCCTGGGGCAAGGACCGCCCACCGAGCCACGCCTACCGCCCCCACCGCCGCACCACCACGGAGGCGGAGTGGGTGGTGGTGGAGTGGGTGGAGGGGGCGGCGGGGGAGTGGGCTCGGGCGGAGGATCGTCGCTGGCCGATGACATGGAGATCAAGCCCGGCATCGCCGAAATGATCCGAGAGGAAGAAAGGGTGAGTGAAGCAAATTCATTTTTATAAAACCATTTTTAGGCCCAGCACATTACAATTTCTACCTAAGTAAATACCATTTGCATTCTATATTAAAGAAAATGTCGTTATTATACCCTTGCAGAGGGTATTATAATTTTGGTCAAAAGTGTGCAACGCAGTGAAGGAGACATCTCCGACCCTATAAAGTATATATATTCTTGATCAGGATCACCTCCTGAGTTGATATAGCCATGTCCGTCTGTCCGTCTGTCCGTCTGTCCGTCTGTCCGTCTGTCTGTCCGTCTGTCTGTTTCTACGCGAACTAGTCTCTCAGTTTTAAAGATATCGAATTGAAACTTTGCACACACCCTTCTTTCCTTTGCACGCAGTATATAAGTCGGAACGGCCGGGATCGGCCGACTATATCCTATAGCTGCCATATAACTGATTGATCGGAAATGCCATAACTTTGGTGTTTGTAAAGTTAGAATGTTGGGATTTTCTATGGGTTTTATATTTGGCTAATCAATCCGACATGCCGAATTTCATAAGGATCTGCCGACTATATCCTATAGCTGCCATATAACTGATTGATCGGAAATGCCATAACTTTGGTGTTTGTAAAGTTAGAATGTTGGGATTTTCTATGGGTTTTATATTTGGCTAATCAATCCGACATGCCGAATTTCATAAGGATCGGCCGACTATATCCTATAGCTGCCATATAACTGATTGATCGGAAATGCCATAACTTTGGTGTTTGTAAAGTTAGGAAGTTGGGATTTTTTATGAGTATTAAGAATGCATCATATGAATAATTTTGGAGAATATAATTTACAGAGTATTCTGCAAGGGTATATCAACTTCGGCTCCGCCCGAAGTTAGCTTTCCTTTCTTGTTTTTTTTTTTGAAAATAACTTTGTCTATTGGCGACCCTTTTGTTATTTATTTTTTGTTAGTTCGAGGACAAGGATTTTTGTAATAAATATAAAACAAAAGTTTTAAACTTAGTTCCGAAATATAGATAAATGTAAACGTTTGTATTACCTTCTATACAACTTTCAAATTAATTCTGTAATAAAATTTAATTATGAATGTTAAAATATTTCTTGAACACCTTAAAAAATTGCAAACTCAATTAGGTCACAATAAAACTATAATAATAATAATAGCACCGATATTGCAATAGCTAAATACTAAACTAGTCTGAATACATACATAATACCATATACTTGGCAAACACACTGAAGTAAAAACAAGACTAATTTCTTACGATAGTTAAAACTGTGATTTAAAATGTTTATTAATGCCTTACCACTAAAACAAATTGCAATGCAACTCGAAACAGAATGTGCAATGCCTTAAAATATGTTTATATTTTAGATATAACAAATTGCTTGCATGAGCAAATAGTTAAAGTGTCAAAAATGTATTTGCAAAATATATTGCCTTATGCGATTAGTATGTCAATATATTTAAGCTTACGACATTCATATATTTCCTAAGATTAGCAACTACGATTTATCTATTGAAAGAGATTTGTCTGCCAAAATGGTTTATGAAATAATTTAAGAGACCCATCGCTTGCCTAAGAGTCTTCAATTCAACGAAGGCATTTCTACAAAGAGAGCGGTAGAGCAGTCTTCTGCTGCTGCCGCGCTGCAACTGCGCTGCCGCTGCGCTGCCTCTCTCCCGCTCAGAGAATATAAAGATTACTATTTCTATATCTCCCCCACTTGCTCTCCGATATTTTTTACCTCGGTTTGTTTTGATTCACGATTCGCGCGCCTTTCGGCGATCTTCAATCTTCAGCTCGCCGCACTCGGCAAAATTCTGCCGGCGGCATTTCGCCTCGTGCTGTGACGTCACAGCGCGGAATGTGGAGCTCCAGTCCCCCTCCCCCCCATGCGCTATGTCCACTTTCTGGAATGATTGACAGCATTCACGTGCTCCACGTCGCCCATTGTTCGCTCTCTTCGCGCGCTCTCTTGCCCCCGCGGAGATCTGTTCCATATAACCCCCCGCCCCCTTTCCAGTGTTCCAGAGTGGTCAGATCAGACCCCCGATTCACGGGTTCCCGGGGCGCACTCACTGGAACGGTTTGGCGACCAAGAGGTGATTGAAATTCTTGTGGCCTGCGGTTGATTTCGATCTATGGAGCATTTTGTGACTTGTTGTGGTTCCCTAAGTGTGCTTCAATTAGGCCAGCGGCGAAAGATATCTGCACAGGGAAAATATGGGGGTCATGTGGTAATAACCCTGACTTCTGATATTGTACCGTAATACTCTTTTAGTTTTTATCGCATTTAAAATCAAATCCCTTACTTTATACTTCAGTGAAAGATGTAGAAGAATTCAAATTCGATCACATAGATCGATTATAGATTCGGTTAATAATTCATTTTATATTGTCTCTAAATATCAATAAAAGTAAAAAGATTCTTGTACAGGGATCACAGCACAAGTGTTTTCGAAAATGTAGATCAATTTGATTTAATATTTTTTTTAACCTCATATAAAATAAATAAACATTCTAAGAGATATAAATATTATTTCCAGATACCTTAGGCATTTTTGCATGCTAAATCAAAATACAAAATTCGTTCATTATGAGCTTTAAGAAACACCTGTTATAATATTCAAAACAAGAAAGGCAATAAAAAAAACCATTTAGTTTTTATACTATATTGCAGAGCGATAACAATTAAATGAAAACAAAAATATTTACATTTTTCAAAAATAATTAAAACCCAAATCAAATAGGCTATCTTTCACTTAAAGTATTCTGTGATAATATTTCTTGAGCCTTACTAATTTGAAATATAAAATTTTCTGACAGTTTAGTTCCTTGCTGGGGGCGAACTTAGCGACCGGTTCGAGTTCGACTGCATTAGCACTGAGCTCACCGCAGAATTCGCACTTTAATAAAAATTTGTATTTATTTATCCAATAGACGTCGACGACGTTCACTCAAGAACCGCGATCTCAGGCGATGGAGTTCCATTCACAGTCGCATATTCGTATCCCGAGTCGCCAGGTCCGACATCAATCGGAATGCGATATTTGTTTGTCTGCAGCGGACTTGAAGAGATCCCACCGCAACTCCTTATTCCCTCCTTATGTTCCGTGTTTATTGTCGCTTTCGAGTGCATTAATCAAATAGCCGACTATATATATACGCATTAGCCTGCTCATGTGTTCAATTTTTGAAGCCGTTTGTTTGCCTCATCGCCTTTTGCCGCGGCTCGCGTTGGCTCGTTAGCGTCTCTTTTCAATAAATATTTTGTTTTTATGCTTTTTTAAATATTTTCCCAACTGACCGTTTGCTTTGCTTTTTATGTGCTTAGAAATTCTTTGGAAAATGCATCTGCATCTGCATTTGAATCCGCTGCGGCATCTGTATCTGCATCTTTGTTTGTTTGCCTGGGTATTAGTGTTGCCGGCCGTGTTTATGCTTTCCTGCTGTTTGCCTTTCCGATTGTTCTACCCCTGCCAACACCACCCCCTTCCCCCCCGCCATATTTCCCAACGTTTATTCACACATTTCATTTATTATTTAAAATTGATGCATTTTTCGTTGCTTCGCGGCGATCGCATCAAGGCGCTGCCATATATAAAAATCAAATATTGACAGGCAGCATCCTCGGCCCCACAATCCCCAGCAGCTTCTTTAATATTTATAATTCCTTTCCATTTATATTTATATGTTTGTGTGGATGCATCTCCCCCCTCACCCCCTTCACCACCCCTTCATATAAGCAGATAAAGCCGATAAGTGTCAGTCGCCGTGGTCCAGGGGTCTCAGTTCTGGCCGTCTGGGCCTCGCTTTCTGGTGATTAATTGCACTTTTATTTGTCTGCCTTCGCCTTTGTTAAAAATCATTTTTTTTCCCTTTTACGCATTTTTTTGTTCTTCAGTTTTTCATATTTTATTGCCAGCCCATTTAGATGTGTGTGCGAGTGTGCATCATTAGAGGTTGTATATTATTATTGGTTTCCTCTGCCGCTTCTCGATCAGTTCACTGAACTTTTTGCGGAGCGTGGGCGCAGAGGAAGTTTTTATTAGGCACAATAAGTCGATTGAAACTCATCTGCGGGGGAAAGTACATTTTCATTTGTAGCTATATCAAAAGAACAATTTTAAGAATAAATTATTAGAAAATACCCTAAAAAGGTAAACAATTTTGTTAGAAAACCATTTTAATATGCATTACTTGCAAAGCCTAACTTTCAGAAAATTCAAATTTTCCAAAAAGTTTTTTTGAAAAATGTTCAAAAATAATTTAAAAGAATTTTAATTTTGTTTCTTAAATTGTTTGTTCCAAAAGATGCTTAACTTCAATTTAAATAAGAAGGAAATAGTTTCTAAAAATTTGTAATGTCTATCGAGTATTTAATCTTCAAGACAAGAAAAAACAGGTTTAGAAATGTTCAAAATCCAGAGAACAATTGAGATACAATGTTGTACTGATTGTGATCAATGGCACATCCCGCAGCCTTTTCCCTTTCGATTTCCTCGCCACTTTCCCACTCAATTAGTCCGCAGATGAGGGCCAACCAAACCGCAGGGTGAAAAGGGAGGGAAACCAGAGAAAAAGGGAGAGAATCTGCGAGAATCTCACACTCATGATTAGCGTGTGTCGCTTACCTTTCGCCAGCCGGCAAAAACTGCAGCCCGAGCTGCCACAAAAAAACGCTGCAGACAAATTACCGCAGGGAGTGGCAAGGGGGAGGGGGGGCAGACGGCTAAACGTGCCACATTCAAACTACTTGAACAAAACACAGAAAAAAGGTGAAGAATCAGGAAAAAGGGAGCGAGTGGCGTGCATAAAAATTGAAAAAGATGCACACAGCTCGAAAAAGGAATCTCGCATCTCGAAGCCAGCGAGTGTGTGTGTGTGTCTGTGTGTGTGAGTGAGTATCTGTGTGCGAAGGAAGCCAACAAGCCACTTAACCCAATCGACAAAAGTCATTACACTCGTCACTCTCAGATGAAAGACCTCACAGCTTCCGCTGTGGGTA